TTCAATAGTGTTATCCAATTTCATAGATATTGCACTCTCATTGCTGGGGCTAGTATTTCAAATTTTGCGTCATTTTATAGTTCATATAACTTGTAATATTTTTGCAAATAGTTCTTAAATTTTTTCCAGTCCTCCTCCAAAGCTTCTTCTCCCAGGTCTCGGATTCTGGCGGTCATTTCGGCCATGTAATCAATCAGTTGCGTTTGCCACTCTTCCAGCGTGGGAAGATCTTGAGTCTTCCAATATTTGGCAATCAGGATTCTTGCTGCTGTAGTTGCATACATAAAAAACGTTCTATCCTTCTTTAACACCTTTTGGCCGACAATACCCAAGAGGAAGGCCTCCGGTTTTTTAGGGAAGGTGTACTTAAACACCTTTTTTAACTCATTATAAATCATTTCCCAAAAGGCCTTCACTCTCGGGCAAGTCCACCAAAGGTGAAAGAAAGTTCCATCAGCCTCCTTACACTTCCAACATTTGTTATCAGACAAATGGTATATCTTAGCAAGCTTGACTGGGGTCATGTACCACCTGTATATCATTTTCATAATGTTCTCTTTCAAGGCATTACATGCCGTAAATTTCATACCGGTGGTCCATAACCTTTCCCAGTCTTCAAACATGATATTACAACCAATGTCTTGGGCCCACTTTATCATGGCTGATTTAACTGTCTCATCCTGTGTATTCCATTTAAGCAGCAAGTTATACATTCTCGATAATACCTTGGTCTTTGGTTCTAACAACTCTGTCTCAAGTTTCGATTTTTCCACCTGGAATCCTGTTTTTTTGTCCAACTTAACGACCTCATTAATTTGGGCATAGTGAAACCAATCTTGCACCTTATCCTTTATATCTTCAAAGCTCCGCAACCTCCAATTATCACCAATTTTTTCTACTAATTCCCAATATTTCGGCCAGCCGGCCTCCATATTGGGTTTTTTCCACGCCTTGGCCTCCACTGGTGATAGCCACCTCGGGGTCTTACTTTCAAATAAGTCTTTGTATTTCAACCAGACCATAAAGATTGCTTTCCTGACAATATGGTTTTTAAACATTCCATGTGTTTTTGCCTTGCCGTACCACAAATATGCATGCCATCCTAACGAGTTGTTAAAACCTTCCAGGTCTAGGACATCTGTATTCTCTAATAAAATCCAATCTTTCAACCAGCAGAAGGCTGCCGCCTCGTAATATAACCTTAAATCTGGCAGGGCAAACCCCCCTCTTTCTTTTGCATCAGTTAGTATTTTAAACTTTATTCGGGGCTTTTTGCCCTGCCAGATAAACTTAGAAATATCCTTCTGCCACTTTCCAAAACATTCTACTCTGTCCACGACCTGCAAGGCTTGAAATAAAAACAGCATTTTTGGCAGGACATTCATCTTAACAGCAGCAATTCGGCCCAGCAAGGAAAGTTTCAGTCTCGACCAAGTTTCCAAATCTTTTTTAACTTCTATCCAACATTTCTCATAGTTATCCTTAAACAAATTCAAATTTTTAGGCGTCAAGTGTATCCCCAGGTATTTCACTTTCTTAACCACAGTTAATTCTGTTTCCTTCTGAAACCCCTCTATTTCTAAAGGCGTCAAGTTTTTCCCCAAAACTTTAGTCTTTTGTTTGTTCAACTTAAATCCTGCCACCCGACCAAATTCTTGTATCAGTTCCAAAACTCTTTTTGTACTAGATTCTGGCTCCTGTACTGTTATTACTAAGTCATCTGCAAATGCTTTCAGTTTGTATTGTTTCACTCCGACCGTGATCCCCTGTATCTGCCGGTCTCTCCTAATCATATTCAGCAAAACCTCCAGGACTGATATAAATAATAGGGGGGATAGGGGGCACCCCTGGCGTGTTCCTTTTTCAATCAGTCTCCAACATTTGCAGGTAGGACAGAGAGAGAGAGACACTGCTAGCCTCACCACATATGAAAAAATCCTTCTTAAAATTCTTCTTAAAACCCTTCTTAAAATTGTTAAGCATATTGGGAAATGAGTTATAATGAAATGAAGAAGATGTTTAAAATAACCTTTGTTAAGAAACCAGAAGCTTTCCTGCTAGGCATTACAGGAGTGGCTTCACCAAGAATTTGTTTATGTACCCAGCTACAGCCGCATGAACATTATAAGCACAACATTGGAAAGAAGAAAGTGTCCCAGCTAAAGAAGATTGGCAAGTTAAATTAATGGAATATGCTGAAATGGCAAAATTGACAATGAAATTAAGAGGAAGAGATGACAACAAATTTAAGGAAGAATGGAAGGACTTTATTGCATACATACAGAAGCAATGTACACAGTTAATATATTAGCAGGGTTTTAAGATTACTTGTAATTTTATTATGAATGGACAATAAGTAATTCAAATGGTTAAAATTTCACAATGGACATGTACTACATTGATATACAATGGAACCAAGGAAGGGAATAGTGGGAAGTCAAACTGTTTTGCTTTGATTTTTTAAAATTTATATTATTTTTGTTATTGTTGGAAAATTAATAAAATGTTATGGGGCGGGGGGAAAGAGAGTGTTGCTCCAAGCTCAGACTGTGTCGCTTTCACAAGCCACTCTTGAGTTCCTATACCAATAATTTAGGAACTTTCAGCAATGTCACTAAGCCAAGTTTTACTGCCAAGTTTTACTTTACATTTCTGAATGCTGTATGGAAAAGCACATGAACCAGACCTTTGAACAGTTTGTAAGTAAAACAAATTTAAACATGAGAGAGAGAGAGAGAGAGAGAGAGAGAGAGAGAGAGAGAGCGCTAGTTGCTGCAGACAATTTTGCAAGAAGATAGTATCTCTTCTGTACTTCCTTATCAGGGATGTTGCAATGCTCTTAAAGGACTTGGACAGGTTCGTGACACAAATGCCCATATATTAATTTATATGTATATATGCCTTTGACAAAATCAAGACAGCAGGTTCCTAGAGCCCCACTAGCATTTCACATTGCAGTGTGACAAACTGCCTGGTAAGGAAAATATATATTCTAATAATTTATTGAACTCTTCCCCTTCCCATTTTTATTCACACAACTACCCCGTGAGGTAGGTTAGTTAGGCAGAGCAACATTGACTGGCCCAAGAGTGAGTTTCATAGCTGAGTCGGGATTCAAACTGGCCCTGTATGGGCATTGGCACCAGGCAATGCCATCCTTTACATATATCCTGGAGCATCTCGTGCATGCAAAATGTGTGTATATGACTCTGTCCCAGCCAACATGGCCAATAGTGGGGAATGATGGGAGTTGTAGTCCAATGGCAACTGGGTGGCCACAGGCTCTCCTCCCCTGCTTGAAAGGTAATTACCAACACTTAGCCAAATTATGCCTCCTCCATAGTGTTGTAAATGAGTAGTTAATGGGCCTGGGCTCCCTCTGTAACATGAGCACTGCTCCCCAGCAAATGTAGATAGGATTGCACCCTTGCCTATTGATTCACTGACTTTGAACCAATGCACTGAGTAATTTAAACAAGTTCCACCTGTGGACTAGATGACCCTTGGGGTTTCTTCTGACTCTGCAATTCTTTGATCCTAAGGCCCTCAGAGAAGGAGGTCTGAGGATCCCAAAGAGACAGTTTTGAGCACAAAATAATGCACGGTTTAACAAAAAAGGCAATCACTCTTTGCTAGAAGGAAATGTCATCTTTAATATTTTATTCTTCATCAAGTCTTGGCAACGTGGGATCTTCTCATTCATTGTAGTGTCTTCCTGCAGGGGCCGGCCCTATCATTTGGCAGAGTGCCTTAGGCAGCAGATGCCAACTCTCCTGAATTCTGGGCTGCTGCTCTCCTCTCTTGGAGGAGCTGCTTGTGCCACGTGACCCATCCTATACTTGCTAAACTAGCCTATTGCTCTCTTTTGGAGGACATTATCCTTTTGCCATGCCTTTTGTATGTTTCAGCTACCAGTCCTCGCAGTCCATTCATGACAGGAAACATTTGGTTGTCTCATTTTTTAGCCCGCCTGGAAAACTCCAGGGAACCTGCAACCCTCAAGATGTTGATAGACTACAGCTCCCATCATCATGCCTGCTGCAGCTGTTGGTTGTTGGGAGTCCCACACAATCTGGAGTCCCCATTTTGACAGCATTTGGGATACATTTCTGTCTACAGTTTTGCTTGCCTCACCTCATATTGCAGAGTTGCAAAAAGGTTCAGGAAAGGGCAACCAAGATGGAGTGGAATGTTGGAAAAATCAGGGCAGACACAAGGAAACTTCTTCATGCAGCCCAAAGTTAAATTATAGAGCTTGCTCTTGCAGAAGGGCAGTGATGGCCACCACTTTGGAAACCAAATTTGGACTTCAGAATATCATCAGAAAAATCCATGGGAGGTAAGATTAGGTCACCAGATTTTTTTCAATGAATCCGGCGACACCTTTCAACTTCAATGGATTTTGTATGGGGACTGATTTGTAAATCTGGGGACTGTCCCCGGGAAACGGGGACGTCTGGCAACCTTAAGGTAAGACTATCAGTGGCTACTAGCCCTGACGGCTATGCTCTCTCTTCCATGGTCGGAGGCATTAATGCTTCTTAATACCAGTTTCTGGAAACCACAGAGGGGAGGGGCTGCCATTGTCACCGGGTCCTCCTTGTGGGCTCGCAGCAGGTTTCTGGTTGGATGCTGGACTAGACGGGACATTGTCCTGACCCAGAGGCTCTTCTTACCTTCTTATGGCATATTGCAAACTAGTTTCTTGCCCTTGTGTTAGCGGTGTGCTTTCAAGGAGGTTTTCAAACAAGGGGTGGGGAGCAATCTCGCCCCCACCTCCTGCAGCCTAAACGTGCGGAACACCACCTCCTCCTTTTCCTTGCACATTGTTCACAACGAGCTCGATCCTTTTCCTTTCCAAACCCCTCCCCCTTTCCCCCTAACCTGCCTCCAAGTAAAGCGCACTGGGAGTTGTGTGCGTCGGGGGCACATCCTGGCCACTAGCCGCTGACTCAGTCCTCCGCTAGAGGGCGCCACAGCCTCTCTCCCTCCTCCTCCTCCTCCTTGTCCCCGCAGCCATTGAGCGAATGGACTGGGCTCCGGAGCGCACGTTTCCTGCAAGGGGGAAGAAGCCGCGGCGGAGCACGCTCTGACCGTTGCAGTCCGGCGCCGGCGGGGTGCGAGTGGGCTGGAGCCGGGGAGGCGTCGCCGTGGGCCCGGCGGACTGGCGAGCCCCGCAGCCCTGGCCTCCGCCCTCCTCCTGCCTCCTCCTCGCAGCATCTCTCCAGCCCAGGAGAAGCAGCAGCAGCGTCGCCGCCGCCGCCGGCGCGCTCCTTGCCTTTCCTGCATCCTCGGGCTCGCTGCCGCCCTCCTCCGCCTCCTCCCCTGCCTCGTTGCTGTGGGTTTCTGGTTGCATCGGGAACAAAGGAAAGGCTTCCCCCCCTCGCCCTCCCTCCCTCCTTCTTCCCTCCCCCCCTCCTTTCCTCCCGTCCCTCTGGACTCCCGACGGGCGTAGCAGCCGCAGCAGCCGCCGTGGGCGCCCCGATCGCCCCTTCCCAGCATGAAGGAGATGCCTCGGCTGCTGCCGTCGAGGCCCCGCCGACAGGGAGGGCTCCTGCTGCCGCTCTTGCTGCTCCTGCTCCTGGACGGCCACGTCGCCCGGGTAAGTGACATCTCTGACGCCCCCTCGACGGCACCCGGCCCTGCTTCCTTCCCCACAGGACGCGCACCCCCCTCCCCTGAATGCTTCCAGGTTTACGTCGTTGCCTTCCTCCTCCTCCCCGCGGCTCGACGCCTTGCCTCTATCCCGGGCCTGCCGTGCCAAGTTCCCTTGACAGGGGGCTTCTTCGCCTTTCTGCCTCCACCCCCCCCGGCCTTTCCTCCCGGGGGACCCTTAGGCGCAACCCGCACGCCCCGCCCCACCCTCCCTGGCTGCCCCTAGGTGGGGGAGAGGAAGGAGCAGCTGCGGATTTTTGCATTCGTGGGGAAACAAGTGGCTCCCTGGGTGGGCGTGTTGGCTCAAGGAGGCGGCCTCCCTCTCTCCGCTTGGGTCGCATCTTGTGCGCTTTCTCCCCCCACTTCCTCGCTTAGCTCGACCTTTAGGCAGTTTTGGCTCAGCCACGAGTCCCCTCGCTCGGTGGCGCTTGCTTCCAGGTAAAACGTGCGCCTTGCTGCCAGAGCGCAGGCGAGTTTCTTTGGCATTTAAGGCCCAGTCGATTGCGTTCAGCGGGGCATATTTCTCTGGAAAAGCACGCCTTTAGCACCGCAGCCTTGCTTGAAAGTAAGAGCAGCGGCGCTTTACTCCTAGGTAAACGCGCGTGAGGACTGCAGCCTTATAGTGTCTCCCCCCCCCCTTTCTCGGATTTATTTTGTGAATGGGGCCTCCAGTGTCTTCTCTCTGGGACATGTTAGTGTTGCAGCCTTGTTTGGGAATAAGCCCCCTTAGTCCATGGAAGGGGGGCGGGGTCAGCCTCCCACATAACTGGCCAGGATCGCAGCTGGAGTTGCAAAGGGCTTTGTTGGGGGGTGGGGAAGAGAGGTGGGACCCCCGTCTCCCGTTAATCTTCACGGTGATTGCAAAGCTTCCCTCAGAGGAATCGTTCAGCCACGTCAGATGGTGGTAATAAATAAAGGCACTTCTCGCTCTTCCTGGTCCCAGATTTCCATTCTTGGGGGGGGGGGTTCCAGGCACTTGGGGCGGGGTGGGTGAAAGCCATATCTAGATGTCATTTGAAGGTCAGCTGGGAAGTAGGGTTACAAATAAAGAGGGCATTCTCTTTTCTCCTTTGCAATTTCGTTGTTCCTTATTTTGGGTGCGTTTTTTCCATGGGGTGGGTGAAGGTTTATCCCCCCCCCCTTCTCTCCCGTCTGACTTGCTGGGACTGCGACGAAATGTTGGGAGGAGGCCGGTTTCTGTGGGAGTTGCTGTCCCTGCCTTTCCTCTCTAAGCTGATTCCCTGCCGTTCTGTTCTCTGTGTGGGAGGGAGTCTGGCTGGCTAGTCCTATTTGTGTGTGTGTGTGCTCACATGTGCCAAGGGATGTGCCCCTGTGGACTGCATATCAATGCCCTGGACCAGTTCTCTTGCCATTGCTTTCCTCCTGCCATTGCTTTCCCCCTCAATTGTCAAGCCTCCTGCCTGAAGAAAATGCTGGCTGCCATTCCAGCAAATGATGGAGATGATGCTTGCTGATTGCTTAAAAGGGAAGGAGCGGGGTGAGGTTGGCCCATTGAGATTCTCTGCACGCAGTTTGGCCTCTGTGGCGCTCAAGCTCTTGCTAGTTTCTCTTTACCCGCAGGGCCTTGTCATTATTGCCTGTGGCACAAGCCGGGTCCCTTGTGTGGGTGGGGGGAAGGTTGCTTAAGGCAGCCTGCCTACAACCTGGCCACCCTCTTGTGAGGACTACAGCTCCCATCATCCCTGACCACTGGCCGTGCCAGCTGTGGCTGAAGGGAGTCAGAGTCCCAACAGCACCAGCTGGGGGAAGTTTAAGGCAGCTTACATACCTTGTTTCCTCCAACCTACCACGTAATATGGAATATTATAGGGGAAAGGTTATATTGCCAAGAGGGTTGAGGAGCTAACAGTTTGTCGGTTTGTAGGATGGTTGGTGTTCTTCCTGCCCTGCCCCCTGCCACTCATAGAATCATACAATTGTAGAGTTGGAAGGGACCTCAGGAGTCATTTAGTCCAACCCCCTGCAATGCAGGAATCTCAGCTAAAGTATCCATGACAGATGGCCATCCAACCTCTGCTTGGAAACTTCCAAGGAAGGAGTGGCCACAACCTCCCGAGGGAGACCGTTCCACTATCAAACAGCTCTTACTCTGGGGATCAGCAAATATGATGCTTGGAATTTTCATGCGCTGCAGGCTTGGTAGCAAGAGGTGATGGTCCGAAGTAAAAAAAATAAGACATTAATGCTCTAGAGACAAAGGCAATGGGGCATCTTCATAGGTACACAAGAAGAGCCTGCTGGATCAGGCCAGTGGTCCACCTGGTCCATCATCCTGTTCTCATACTGCCCTTGGGAAACCTGCAAGTGAAATTTGAGCACAAGAGCACTCTCCCCTTCTGTGGTTTGCAGCAACTGGTGTTCAGAAGCAGGACTGCCTCCAACAGTGGAGAAGAACATACCGGTAGATATCATAGCTAATAGCCTTCAGCAGACTTCTCCATGAATTTGTCTAATCCTCTTTGAAGGCATCTACGTTGGCGTCCATCACTGCCTTCTGTGGGAAGGAGTTCCATTGTACAGTGGTACCCCGCAAGACGAACGCCTCGCAAGACGGAAAACCCGCTAGACGAAAGGGTTTTCCGTTTTGGAGGCGCTTCGCAAAACGAATTTCCCTATTTGGCTTGCTTCGCAAGACGAAAGCCCATAGGGAAATCTCCGGGACAGCGGGGAAGCGCAGCGCGTCTTCCCCACTGTCCTCGGACCTCCTCCCGCCACCCGGCTTTGGAACGAAGCTCCGATGCCGGGCGGCGGGGCGGGAAAGCCTCCTCCCGCCGCCCGGCATCGGAACCAAGCTCCGATGCCGGGCGGGGGGGCGGGAAGCCTCCTCCCGCCGCCCGGCATCGGAACCAAGCTCCGATGCCGGGCGGGGGGGGGGCGGGAAGCCTCCTCCCGCCGCCCGGCATCGGAACCAAGTTCTGATGCTGGGCGGCGGGCGGGAACGCCTTCTCCCGCCGCCCGGCATCGGAACCAAGCTCCGATGCCGGGCGGCGGCGGGAAGCCTCCTCCCGCCGCCCGGCATCGGAACCAAGCTCCGATGCCGGGCGGGGGGGCGGGAAAGCCTCCTCCCGCCGCCCGGCATCGGAACCAAGCTCTGATGCCGGGCGGCGGGCGGGAACGCCTTCTCCCGCCGCCCGGCATCGGAACCAAGCTCTGATGCCGGGCGGCGGGCGGGAATGCCTTCTCCCGCCGCCCGGCATCGGAACCAAGCTCCGATGCTGGGCGGCGGGGCGGGAACGCTCTCCCGGGAAGGCAGGCAGGGGGGAGCAAAGACTTTCGCCCCCGCCCGCCTTCAGAAGAGCTCAAGGACCTCTTCTGAAGGCGGGCGGGGGGCGAAAATCTTTGCTCCCCCCCCGCCTGCCTTCAAAAGCCGTCCGGGACAGCGGAGAAACACGCTGCCTTTCTCTGCTCTCCCGGGAAGGCAGGCGGGGGGGGAGCAAGACTTTCGCCCCCGCCCGCCTTCAGAAGAGGTCCAGGACCTCTTCTGAAGGCGGGCGGGGGGTGAAAATCTTTGTCCCCCCTGCCTGCCTTCCCAGGGGCTTTTAAATCGCCCCGGACAGCGGAGAAGTCCTCCGCTGTCCCGGGCGATTTTAAAATGCCGCCCGCCAGCATTTTAAGATTGCCCCGGACAGCGGAGAAGTCCTCCGCTGTCCCGGGGTTTTTTAAAATGCTGGGGGTGGGAAGAAAAGCCCTTGTCCCCCCCCTCCCCCGCCTTCAGAAGAGGTCGGGGGACAGACTGTCCCCGGACCTGGTCTGAAGGCGGTTTCCCTAGGAACGCATTAATTGATTTTCAATGCATTCCTATGGGAAACCGTGCATCGCAAGACGAAAAACTCGCAAGACGAAGAGACTTGTGGAACGAATTAATTTCGTCTTGCGAGGCACCACTGTATGTACTGAACAGAGAAATTCATTTCTTTTATGTGTCCTGAGTCTTCTAATACAGTGGTACCTCGGGTTATATACGCTTCAGGTTGCATACGCTTCAGGTTACAGACTCCGCTAACCCAGAAATATTACCTCGGGTTAAGAACTTTGCTTCAGGATGAGAACAGAAATCGTGCCCCAGCAGCACGGCAGCAGCAGGAGGCCCCATTAGCTAAAGTGATGCTTCAGGTTAAGAACAGTTTCAGGTTAAGAATGGACCTTTGGAACGAATTAAGGTACTTAACCCGAGGTACCACTGTATTCAGCTTCCTTGGATGGCCCACAGGGAAAGAGACATGCACACCATATATCTGAAGCACATTTAAGGTGCGTCCTTCCCATCACTCAAAGAGAATCCTGCAAACTGTACTTTACTGCTCACAGAGCTACAATTCCTAGCACCCTTAAACTACAGTTTCCAAGTGTGATTTAAATGTATGGTGTGTACACAGCCCATAACTCTGGCTGTGCCCATACTTCATATGAACAAGGTCCCTGGTGCAATCCCCGACACCTCTAGCTGCAAGGAACAGGTAGCAGGTGTTGGAAATGACCCTTTACCTGAGACCCTGGAGAGTCACTGCCTATCAGAGGAGGTGTTACTGAGATAGATGGACACATAGATTGACGATAACTTCCTTTGCCCCTGTGCCATGCCATCTGTTTTGGGCCAAGGTGGAGGGTCAATGCCCTTTGTGGATGGCATCATGCTGCACACTTGAGTTCAGCTAGATGCTTCAAAAGGTAGGGGTATCTCTAGCGGCAGACGCCCAAGTGTCTCATCCCTAATGTCTACTTGAGCACTGCTGTTTAAAAGCCTGATTTATGCATTGTATTAAAATGTCGATGAGGTCACTCTGCAAAGCACTCTTACTTCCTTTAGCAAAAGTCAATGATGGGAAATGCCTAGATCATTTGTTTAAAAAAAGGAAAAAGAAAAGGTCACTCTCCATATTTGGCTGCTGCATTTTCTGTGTGCAAGAACAAACATATGAACATAAG